AGGCCCAGCCAGCCAAGGGCGTTGGAGCGGGGGTCTGCGCGTTTCGCCTTCCCCGCCCGATGTTGCCACCCGGCTGCTGATCGCATCGCCCGCTGATCCCACGCGGGCGTGAGGCCGTAGAGGTCCTGGTAGAGGCTGGAAACCTCCTTCGCAAAGCGGGAGTAGTAAGTGGGGCTGGCGGGAACTGGGGGGAGAGGGAACCTCGCGCCTCGGCTGCCAGCCTGCCACCCCTCCCCTCCCCGGCTGGCGGGGCATAGAGGAATGTGTGCCGCGGACCAGGCCCGCGTGGGCTGTCCTGTCTAGCCGCTCCGCCAGCCGGGCAGTACCGGGCACTTGCCTTTCCTCGCTATTTGGGGGCCACGTTGGAAGAGTTTATCCCTGGGGTCTGTTCGGGAGCCTGGAAAGGGGCTGCGCTAAGCGCAGAATGGATTTGGTCTAGCGATCAGGTTTCCTCACCCCCCGCCCTTCCCCGTTCAAACCTCTTTAAAGCCGAATTCCTCCCAGTTCTTTGCGCCAAAATTAACTGACCTGAGGAGACCCCGTACTTTCTGACAGATTTGCCCTACACCTTCCTGACTTGTAACTTTACTTTGCTCTGTGGCTTTCCATAAAAAAGTACTACTTTTGTCGACTTTTTCTTCCCAAGTTTTCAGTTACTAATGGGTGTTTGTATTCGTTCGTGTGCGTTTTAGAGAATTGGGGGTGGCTATGCTCCTGGAAATTCCCAGGATGAGTTTGGGAAGGGGAAGTTCATGTCCACGTCGAGCAAATAATAAATAGATATCTTTGTTGGAGGAGAAAGCATCTAATTGTAAGATCGTTTCTAATGTAATTGTGCATTACAGATGGAAGTGAATTGTTTAACACTAAAAGACCTGATCAACCCCAGGCAGCCCAGACTAGATTTTGCCACTGAAGATGGGGAAAATGCACAAAAGGTAAGTGCACCAAGGTCTAACATATTTAGGATAGTGATGTCTAATTCAATTAAGTGTTTCAATATGCCACTTGTATTTGTCTTGTAAATCTAATGAATATGATGAACATTGTAGAAATATACTTTTTTAATGGAGTCACCCAAACCATTAGTAATTGAGTTTCTCAGTCATTGTGCAGTGGAAAGAGGCTAGGTTAGATGTAGTGTTGGAACCAATTTATATTAATCAAAGATATGCTGACCCCTTCAATCAAAAGTTTGTAATACTTGTAGTTGTCAACATTGGAATTAGCTAATGCTGTGCAGGAATGTTAAACCTGAGTACCCGGGAAGAAAGACTCTCTGCTATAAATGCTGGATTATTAAAGTACTGTGAAATGTTCTTCATGCCCATGCATTAATCAGCTCTAGAGGCAGTTCCCTTCACCCATATAGGGAGAGAAGTGACTGAGCGCACCAACACACCCTGCGTATTCTGTAGAGCTACCGCTGGTCTGGTTTTGCCCTGAGTCATTACCCCTTTTTTGCTGCCCTGTGATTTGTAAGACCATGGTGGTGTCTTTAAGAAACATTACCAAGTAAACTGCCCATAGCAATATCTAAACTATCACTGTACCCACATCAGCACAGTTATGCTCACCAACCAGTGCCCTACCGAAAAGCTGTAAGAGCTTGTTAGTAGCAAGCATCTAAGTGTTTTTAGGCAAATACATATAATAAACCTGGATGTAGAAACTTTGAATATAAATCTGAGCATAGCAACTTCCTTGGGTTTTGAACTTTTTCTAGGGTTTTGGTCTAAATTTTGGATTTAGTGTCAACAATGAAACTGTCTGGTTGCAAAGAATCTGTTATGTGGCCCTTTGAAGAATATTTGACAACCATTAATTTTAGATAGGTGTGAAATTGTATGCTTTTCCCAAGTAGGGTTTTTCCCTCCTAGCATTCACTTTTTTGTTGTTGTTGTTGTTAGGAAATGAAGTACACCAAAGCATTATTGTTTTAAAGAGGACTTTTAAAATTATCCAAGCTATATGAGGGTGAAAATGCCCAGACTTTGTATTTTTAGAATTTTGGCTTTGGGAGTTTCAGAACAAAACTCTGTTATCTTTTATAATTTGCATGGGACAGACTTGAAAAAATATGTACACATTTATATAAAGCCTAAGTCAGTGTCCACTTTTTTTTCTTCTGGGCCTTTTTTTTTTTTTATCCTCACCCAAGGATATTTTTTCCCATTTTTTTTTTTTTTGTTTATTTTTTTTAGAGGGAGTGGAGGTGGGGAGAGAGAAAGAGAAACATCGATAGGTTGCCTCCCGCATGCACCCGACTGGGCCAGGGATCAAGCCAGCAACCCAGGTACAGTGTCCTTGGATGGGAATCAAACCCGAGACCCTTCGGTCCGACGCTCTTACTACTGAGCAAAACCGGCTAGAACTGGGTCAATGACTTCTTATCAAATGCCTTCAACTTCTACTCTAGTTAGTTAGCATCAGTAAATGCGATGCCCAGTTGAGCTTTCACATTCTAATGGATATGGGGGGAAACTCAAGTGACTCAAGAGTGATTGGAAAAGTGGTTACAATGTTCGAAATGGAATGTCTGAGCAGGAATTATTTGGCCTCTTAAAGAGAAGGCAAGGGATAAGAACAGAGTGCTTCTGCTAGTTGCTTGGAGGGGCTTTGTCTCTTTTCCTGTTGCTGGGAAGGATTTCTAGGGATAGTGAGAACATGGGATTTGGAGTCAGATCTGGGTTTGAGTTTCTGTTCTGCTATTCGCTATGTCACCTCAAACAGATATATTTATTTAATCTTTAAACAAATATTTATGTCAAAGGTGCTAAGGGGGCAGTCGTTTATTAGTAGTTAATAAATCTGTTTCTTCCATAAATTGCAACTAATAAGTAGCACCTCCCTCTTTTGAGTTTTTGTTGAGCACTCAGCAACATACACTGTTCACACTGTACTTAAATTAATAGCCCAAAAATGAATATGATGCAGGCCCTGCCCTCCTTTATTTGAGAGACTTTCAGGAACTCAGATGTAAAACTAACCAACTGCACTATGATTTGATAAGTGCTATAATAGTGAGAACAAAGTGGTCCCCAGGGAACAGAGGAGGAAGAAATAAATTCATGGGGAGTCTAGAGAGAGTTGAAGGCTTCTAAGGAGCTAACATTAAGGTTGAGGATGTTCAACCTACAAGAAAACAAGAGTGTTTGAGAGGGACATTTTAGGCAGGAGAAACAACATGAGGTGTGGGTGTTTAAGAAATGTTCAAGAGATTCAGCATGGCCACAAACGCATAGTGCTGAGTTGTTCCTTCTTAAAACCCTCTGAGGGATGCTTGCTACAGTGTCCTTTGGCATATAGAGCATTTATCTTTCTTGATTGGTCAAGAACTCTTAAAGTACATGCATCTTCTTATTTCTCATGGAGAAACTTAAAACATAAAGGAGTTTTCAACTTGGTTACCCAAATTTACTGTGCCCAGTTGTGGGATTATAAACAACTCTCTTAATTTGTTCACAGTGCATTTAATCACGACGAATAGAAAATGGATGATTTGGGACAAAGAGATGAGCAGTGAGATTGAGCTGCTTTGTAAAAGAGGTAACACTTGAGCTAGGGCTTAAACTTGCAGCGGTTCTCAACCTGTGGGTCGCGACCATCGGAAAACACATATAGCATATCAGATATTTACATTACGATTCATAACAGTAGCAAAATTACAGTTATGAAGTAGCAATGAAAATAATTTTATGGTTGGGGGTCACCACAACATGAGGAACTGTATTAAACTAATGATCGCGACCCACAGGTTGAGAACCGCTGGCTTAAAAGCATGAAGGTTAAGACTTAGGCAAGTAGAGAGGAACTAGTAAAAGTAGAAATGAGACCCTGGCTGGTTAGCTCAGTGGGTTAGAGTGTCGTCCCAATATGCCAAATTGTGGGTTCGATATCTGGTTAGGGCACATACAAGCAATCAATGAATGCGTAAGTAAGTGGAATAACAAATCAATGTCTCTCTCCCTCTCAAATCAATTTAAAAAAATAGTAGAAGTGAGTGGTATATTTGGGGACAATGCCTAGATTTAGTGAGCACAGGTTTTTTGGAAGGTCATTCATCTCTTTTGGGAGTGGTTAAGAAAGGTGAATTCAGTTTGAAATACATATCTGTATCTGTATGATTACAGGTAAATAAATATGTGCAGAAAGCAGCTGGTTGTCTGACTTTGGAATTCGTGGGAGGTACAAGCCAAACACAAACTTGAGAATTATCAACATACACGTTGGTTTTAAAATCAATGTACATGAGAGTCATGAACTACGCAAGAGAGAGAAAGTAGAGGCAAGTGTCAGGCTGAGGTTTGTAAGAGTGGGAAAAGAGGAACCAATGAAGGAGACTGAGAGGAAACAGAAATAGGAAGAGAACCAACAGAGAAAGACTTATCTCAGGACCAAGAGTTTTATAGAGCAAAGCACAGTGAACAGTCTTAACCATTGCAGTGAGGTCAAGTGAGGTATTCTGCCATTGATCTGGCTCCTGGAAGGTGACCTCAGTCAGAAGCAGTGGACCAGAACACACTGATAATTTCAGGAACCCCTGGGATATGATCAGGGGAAAGCCCTCAGTGTGGATTACTCATTCTAGAAGTGCTCTGAAGGGAAAGAGAGCTGTTAAGTCAGTAGCTCGGGGAACTTCCTAACGGGTAGTCTTTGCAATGAGCCTTAAACGACAGGCAAGGCTTAGCCTATGCCATTAAAGACCAGGGCATGGGTGGGGTTGGGGGTGGGGGGGCAATGGGGTGATAAGGACACATATGTAATACCTTAATTAGTAAAGAGAAAAAAGAAAATTAAATAAAAAGACCAAGTGATGGTGTGAACAGCAGCTCAGATGTGATGAAGTGCAGGGCAGGTTTAAGAAAAGCAAGTGGACTGTTGGGGCAAAATGTGGAATTTGCATAAGATGGAACGGGAAAAGAGGTTGGCATAAGGCCAAAAGCCTTGACAAGGCTGATGACTATATTATTTGAGGTCACATGATCAAAGCTGTATCTGAAACAAAAGCAAGACTAAACCCAAGATCTTTTGACTACCAACCCCTCTCTGTGGCAGCGTACAGCATAGTCTCGACGCTGGTATAGTCAATAATGATGAACACTTGTATAGCACTTCACCATTACAAACTGCTTTCACCTTCATTATCTGATCTGCTCCTCACAGTAACTCTGCGGCAGGCTCTCCAGTGTGTGTTACTTCTATTTACATATGACAACAAGAAAACCTGTGTCCTGGATTACTTTCTCCGCTCTGTCTGAGGGAGGAAGTGATTTCTAGGAAGTTGCAGCTTAGATTTCCTGACAAGCAGGTGTGACAGGGAGCTTAGTGTACAGGAGGTTTCTAGGGAGAGCTCTAGGAATCAGTGCCTGGGAAGGGAAGAGAAGGGAAGGCAGCAGAAATGGACAGAGGAAGAGGCAGATCTGCAACACAGTTTCAGGGGAAGTCTGAGTTTACCCTAAGGGAGTTCTGGGATGACCCCTGGAGTAGGGCAAGGGGGCCTGACTTTTACATGTCAGGCCTCCCTGGGAGGGGGCGATCCCAGATGAGTCAGCCCTCTTTGGCCCACCAAGGCATTCCAGTTAAGGGCTTCCTGTTGGTATCACTTCCAACAGGAAGCAGCTGGGGGAATGATTCATTCCTGAAGAGATCTGGTTGCATCCCAAGCATCTATCCACACCGCTGGGCAACCTTGCTGGAAAGCCTTGGAAATAGAGACTAGTCTGAATTCTTTATTTTATGGACCAGGAAACTTGGTTCCCAGACAGAATGAACAATTTGTTCAGTATCAAAAAGATACGGAGCTGAGACAAAAACCAGGTTTCCAAATTCTTGTTTCAATCCCCTTTCCACTGCCTTATACAGTGTCAGGATTGCAGGATAAACAGGCGGATGGAGCAGGGTCGACTAGATAGCAGTCGACTTTCTACCCACCTGCTGAGACCTTGAAAAACAATTTGCTAGACTTTTTTTTTCTTTTGATATAGAGGTGTGATACAATCAGAACATATCAGGTAACCTAACTCTCCTACTTTAAGTGCAGATGGTCCCGTCTTAAGATGGTTAAACTTACAATTATTCAACTTCATGGTGGTGTGAAAGTGATACGCATTTGGTAGAAATCATACTTTGAATTTAGAATTTTGCTCTTTCCCAAAATAGCGATATGCAGTAGGATAATTACTCATGATGCTGGCAGAGGTGTCGAGCAACAGCTCCCAGTCAGCCACAAGATCAAAGGGTAAACAACCCATACTCTACACCAGTGGTTCTCAACTTTCTGGCCCTTTAAATACAGTTCCTCATGTTGTGACCCCAACCATAAAATTATTTTCGTTGCTACTTCATAACTGTAATGTTGCTACTGTTATGAATCGTAATGTAAATATCTGATATGCAGGATGGTCTTAGGCTACCCCTGTGAAAGGGTTGTTTGACTCCCAAAGGGGTCGCGACCCACAGGTTGAGAACCGCTGCTCTACAGTGTACTATGTTGCCAGTGTTTTTGGATCTTGTGCTTTGTGTTTTCGCATCCCATCACGTCTACAAAATGCCCATCTGGGTCTCCTGCTTCTGGTGAGAAGAAGAGGAAGGCCATTGCAGGTGCTCCTCGACTTATAATGGGGTTACATCCCTATAATGTAGGTGTTCGGAGCACATTTAAGGTAGGGTAGGCTAAGCTATGATTGTCAGGTTAGGTATAGTAAATGCATTTTCAGCTTATGATATTTTCAACTTAAGATTGGCTGATCAGGACATAACTTCCTAAGTCGAGGTGCATCTGTAATACTTAAACTGTAGCAAAAATATATCAAAGTGTTGGAGGAAATGATCTATCGGAATTGCTCCTTGGCAGAAAGAAGGAGGAACACATCATTTCTGTGACTGCAGGTGCCGTGGAAGGTAGAGAAGGCGGGTGGATCTCTGTCTGGCTCAGTAAGCCTGGGCCACACCCTCTACTGTAGGAATACCTTTTTGAATAACCAGATAATCAAGGCACCGTGTTCTCTGCGCACTTGTACAGGGCAAGGCATTGTGCCAACAATCGTGAGGAATGAGACACGTACTTACTCTCTGACCTCCAGAAGTGCACAGTCTCGTGAATGAGACAAGACATTCACCCCAGAAGTTAAATCTATTAGCTCTGAGTGTCAGAATGAATGGTAATAAAGACTAGGAAAGAGGAAAAGACAGCAGCTAAGTTTAATTGCATGCTCACTATATGCCAGGAACTATTCTCATAACCCTGAGGTTGGTATTTTTACGAACTTCGTTTTCAGTTGCGAGAATGAAAGCCTGGTGAGGAGAAGGAACGTGCCCTCCCTCACACCAAGTAGCGGGCACCAGAGCCTGCATGCAGAACTGCTTCCCCATTCCACCTCTCCATCGATACTGGGGCGCCTGCTGGGTACTCTATGTTGGAGCTGTGAAAAAGACAGCTTCCTCCAACGGGCACCCAGGACAAGCTTATTTCTAGAGGCAGAATTTCAGAAACTCCAGCTTTCAGTATGTCCTGCATACCAGTTACTTTTCTACGGAATGAGGTTGTATTTAACCTCGAGCAAGTTGTTTAACCTCTCTGTGCCTCAGTTTCTTCAGCTGTAGACTGGAAAAATAATAGTACCCAGGTCACAGGATTAGAAGAGGTTACTATCCATAAAGTACATGAAACACAGTGTGGCACGTGGTAAACCCTCAATACTTTCCCTGGAGGGTTCCCTGGTAGAAGACTTCATCAGGATTGCACACTTATAGGAACTTGTTAAGAGATATCGGTAGAGAGGGGAGGAAGAGATCAACCAAAGAATATGTACGCATAGCCCATGGACATAGTAATGTGGTGAAGGCCGGGGAGGGGCAGAGGTGGGGTGGAGAGAGGCAGAGGAGGGGAATGGGAGACATCTGTAATAGAGTCAACAATAAAAATTTTAAAAAAGAAAAAGAGTTAAACGATAAAAAACAGAGAGAGAGAGAGAGAAGTCGGTAGATGCAGCGCCCGCTGGATGCTATAAAAATTTTAAAAAAGAAAAAGAGTTAAACGATAAAAAACAGAGAGAGAGAGAGAAGTCGGTAGATGCAGCGCCCCAGGCTGGATGCTTATTGCTGCTTGTGGCGGGAGAAACCTAGGCTCCCATCCCCACCCGTTTCCTTCCTGTTACAGGAAGACAGGACCACCATGGCTAGTGGGCACCTTCTGCCAATTCAAGAACAAGAGTTGGCGTGCTAACACAGATTCCAGTTTCTCCCAGTCTTTTCCCTCTGCACATGTTGCTCATTTATAAGAAAGCACTTTTTGTAAACCACTGTTCAGCCAAAATCCAAGCATACAGTAGCTATAGAGTGCTACCTGTACAGGAAAGGGAGTGACAAATATTTAACCACCCACCTTCATAATTGTATAAGACGCTATTGCCTGGAGGTGAATTCTGCTATAATAAGAGCCGAATCTTTCTGTTTTTGAATGCCAAAAACTGGTTTTAGGGGAAAGAAATCTGTTTTAATTACTCGGTTGTTCCAAATGTGGGTTCTCTATACTCAGTCCTTTTTTACAAGGGACATAATGGGCCCATCATTAATCTCAAAGTGTGATCTGAGGGTAGGTTCTACTCCACAAACTATTACTAAGCTGGAAAAAATCAAGAACAGAACTTGAGACGGTAAGCACTTAGAATTCTCTATAGCAATTTAATATCGCCTCCCGTGACACCTAAGCCTGTGATCAGTGGTCTCTTCTTATTGAACAGGCTGTAGGTCAGTTTGATTGGTAATCTCACGTGGGGAGTCATATAGGGTGGGGGTGGCATACGAGTCCTTTGAAGTAAGACTGCTCTCTAGGTTTATTTTATATGTGGCATTTTGTTGGATGCACTTATATCTGTTGGTACTGCTAATTGTTACATTAGCACTGTTGAACACTGAACTACAAAAGCATTTGTTTTCTTCACCGGTTAGTGCAAACTTACAGTGTTTCGAAAATATGGCACTTAGGAGTATATGGACTCAATTCACATTTGCCCTTTTCATCCCCAACTATTAGAAGCATTCACCAGTGATAGATACACTCATGACTTCTTTCACAGCGATGCCATGAAAAACACGCATAAAAGGAATAGCAGATTATAACCACTTTCCCGTTGGAGCTTCTCCTTGAGTTCCATGAATCCTCTGTCTGTTTTCATTAGTCCTATCCTACTATTTTTTCAGCCCTGAACATATGGTCTGGTTGTATTTTCATGGTGGGAACTAAACAGTTCTCTTAGCTGATAGCTGACCTGTCTCATTCTTGCTAAAAGGTCTCTTTTTTAAAATAGGAAAATATATTTGTTGATCGATCAAGGATGGCCCCGAAAACTCCAATAAAAAATGAACCAATTGATTTATCGAAGCAAAAAATCTTCACTCCAGAAAGAAACCCCATTACTCCAGTTAAGCTTGTGGACAGACAGCAGACGGAACCATGGACGCCCACAGCTAACCTGAAGATGCTCATCAGTGCTGCCAGCCCTGACATAAGAGATTGGGAGAAGAAGAAGGGACTCTTCAGACCCATTGAGAACAAGGATGAAGTGTTTACAGACTCTCTGCAGGTAAACAGGCTGTGTTCCTAGCAGCTTTGATAGAATTAAAATTTTTTACTTGGTTATTTAAAGAAATCATAGAATTCTCAATTTTTCAGCTAACTATTGAGCCAAAAGCAGTATTAAGCTTAGTATCTTTTCTTTATATAGCTGAAATGGAATTCTCACTCTGTATCATTTTTCACAATGAATGCTTTCTTTTTCTTTTTTTAACAATTCGTTATTGTTAAAAGTATTACATATGTCTCCTTTTCCCCCCATTGACTCCCTCTAGTCTGCCCCCGCCCCAGGCCTTCAGCACCCTATTGTCTGGACACAGATAATAGGGAACACTTTTTTTTTATAATACTCCCTTAACCAATACACATTTAAAAATCCATTTTTAAGCAATGATTTTAATAACTTTGATTTAATGGGGGAATTTGTGTTCTTATAAATGTTGCTGTGGATTTAATTTTGCTCCAATTTTAAGAATTTTTATTTTAATATATTTTTATTGATTTCAGAAAGGGAGGGAGTAAGCGGGAGGGCAATCTGACCAGAATCAAAACATGACCTCCTGGTTCATAAGTTGATGCTCAACCACTGAGCCACGCAGGCCAGGCAAGGATAATTTTAATCTAAATGTCTTTGACCTGGGAAATTTTATTATTCTCATGTATGTTCAGTTTGTTGGTTTGGGCTTTAAAGTTATCTTTAAATTACATGTCCTGTGGTGAACCAGAGCTATTAAATAAGCTGCATATCTATACTTAAAAAAAAAAAATCAGTGGTCAATAATTTTCACTCTCCCATCAAACTTTTTCCCAGACTTGCTAAGAAAAGTTGCTCACAGATTGGAATGTTATTTCTCTTCCAGTTTTCTTCATTTTGGTGGATTTTTTAAAAATCTATAAAAATGTAAATTAATAGTATTGTTCTGGTTTGGGGATTGGTTGGGAGGTAGAGTCATGGGTATTAAAGACATTACATACATAAGTGTATTTTATATGACCAACTATTCTACCAAAAAGTAAAAAAACAAAAAGAAAACCAATTTTTAAAAAGATATTTCTCAATATTTTTTAAGAATATAAAGGGATCCTGTGACCACAAAGTTTGAGAACTATTCTAGGGTATATACCTAACAGTGCAATTACTAGGTTATTGGATGTTCAGTTACTCATAAGATCGTGCCAGATGGTTTTACCAAGAGCTGTTTGTTTCCACCAGTAACGTATAAACATATATTGATCCATATCCTCTCTGGCACTTGAAATTCTCAAATTTATTAATTTCTGCCAATCCAGTGGGTGTACAATTGTATATTACTGTGGTATCCATTTGCTTTTTCCTTGGTTACTAATGAAGTTAAGCTTTTTTCCATATCTTTACTAGCTACCATGTTTTCTCCTCTTCTGTGAAATACCTGTTTGTGTTCTTTGCTCATTTTTATTGATTTGTAGGGTTTATTATATATTCGTGAAACTAAACCTGTACCAGTTATACATGTTACATTTCAATTGGTGCCTGCCTTCTTTCCCTTTATGTTGCTTCTTATAATCACTTGTCCTTGTATCATGTATTCAGTTCTTCCTCTTCCCTGGAGTTGGTAGTGCTACGCCTGTCACATATCATAGTTTCACTTGTGTGAGTATCTGTTTCTGGGCTCTTTTCTGTTCCATTGGCCAATTTGTCCGTCCCTCCACCAATACCATTCTATATAATAAAAGCCTAATATTCTAAGTGTCCGGTCATCTGGTTGACTGTTCAACCAATCAAAGCGTAATATGCTAATGATATGCTAAGGATGCTCAACCGCTCACTATGACGTGCACTGACCCCCAGGCAGGGGTCAGATGCTCTGAGTGGTAGGTTAGCTTGCTGCTAGGGTCCAGCCGATCAGGACTGAGCGAGATGGGATGAACACATCCTGGAGCCGTCCTGCGTCCCTCCCCAGCCCCCATCGTGCACCGTTGGGTTCCCTCGGCCTGGCCTGCGCCCTCTCGCACTCCGGGACCCCTCGGGGGATGTTGGAGAGCAGGTTTTGGCCTGACGGCAGAACAACTGGTCACTATAATGTGCACTGACCACCAGGGGGAAGACGCTCAACGCAGGAACTGCCCCTGGTGGTCAGTGCGCTCCCACAGGGGCAGTGCCACTCAGCCAGAAGCCAGGCTCATGGCTGGCGAGCGCAGTGCCGGTGGCAGTAGCCTCTCCCACCTCCACGGCAGCGCTAACGATATCCAACTGCCGGCTTAGGCCCGCTCCCCATGAGCAGCAGGCCTAAGCCATCAGTCGGACATCCCCCGAGGGCTCCCGGACTGTGAGAGGGTGCAGGCCGGGCTGAGGGACCCCCCACTCCCGAGTGCACAAATTTCGTGCACTGTGCCTCTAGTGTTGTAATAAGCCTTCATATCAGGCAAAGCAGGAACCTCAATTTTTCCTTCAGAGTATGTGGACTATGCTTTGCCCTTTTTTTCTTCCATATGTACTTTAGATTGGATTTTAATTGTAATTGCATTGCATGTAGATTAATTTGAGAATTAATCTGTTTATGGTACTGAGTCCTCCTATCCACGAGTATATGTGTTTCTCTAACTTTTAAATCTGTTTCTTTAAAGATGCAAATTTTAATATTTTATACAAATATTTGCTAGATTTTTTCCTAAAAGAGTATCGTCTTTTCAGGAGCTTTCTAAATTCTCTTATTATTAATAATTTGTCAGTCTTATATTTTTCATGTAAACAATCATGTGTTCTGCAGAATGAAAGTTTTGCTTATTTATTCCTTCCCAATTCCTGTGCCTCAGTTTCTTTTTCTTGTCCTCATCCACTGGCTATCTCCAGTATGGTGCAGAAGAGGAGCATCCTTATCATGTCCCTGATTTTTAAAGGGGTAATTCCAAGGTTTTCTCTTTAAGATTTGTTTTCAGTTGGGTTTTTATAGATACACTTTATTCAAGTTCTCCATTCCTAGTTGTCTAAGAGCATTTTTGAAAATCATGAATGGTTGTTAAATGTATTAAATGTTTTTTTTCTGAAGCTATTGAGATCATCCTATTGCTTGAATATGTTCACTGAAAAACGTTTTATTTTCTTGGGTTGAATTCAGCCCTTTTGAAATGTGGGTTGATGAGAGAGGGACACTAGTTTTGTGTACTTGCAATCAGAATAAGATTTGGCTGCTCTTGTTCACTTCCACCAACCCTTGGAAATTAGTAAACTTATAAAACAGTTTAATGACACAGTGGAGACCAGTGCGTCTTCAATTTCATGTCAATAGAAATCACCCGTGATCTTATGAAAAGACAGATTCTGATGGACCAGTTCTGGGATGAGGCCTGAGATTCTGCATCTCCAACAAGCTCTTAGTGATGCTTGTCTACAGTCCAACAAACACTCTGTCAGCAAGACTCTAGCAACCTATAAATGACTGCACTATTCATTGTTTACGCTTTTAACCAGTACACTCGGCCTCAAATTGCAAAGGACAAAAAATTCAGTCTAGAGAAGGTAATAGGTAGAATGCTAAGAAAATTAGTTTAGGAAGTGTATTTTAACTAGACTCTAGGATGGGATGGGATGGGATGTTCCCCCAACTTGCCAGTACTGCCCATTGCAATTTCTCTGTTAGGATGTTAACCATGATGTCTCCTCCCTCCCTTCTGTCTGCCCTCTGCAGCTTCGTGTTGTGGGGGACGTTGCTGTGGAGAAATTTGAGAAACGCAGGCCGAGCAGAAAACAGAAAAGTTTAGGACTCCTGTGCCAGAAGTTTCTAGCTCGCTATCCAAGTTATCCCTTGTCAGCTGAGAAAACCACCATCTCCCTAGATGAAGTGGCTGTCAGTCTTGGTATGTATCGTCCGGTTACCCGGAGGTCTGTCTCCAGGTATAGTGGGACGCTGGTTTCCCGGGACAGGCCCTCCAAAAGGGTGAGGACAGGGGCCGGGAGAGCTTCCTTCTGCCATGACCATTCAGCGTAGGATTGCAGGGGCCTTCTAGGCCTGAGAGTCAACAAGAATTTGGTTTTCTTAAGCTTAAAAAACACTTTGACGAGACTCACATTACAGAGCCCTATCTCCTATTTTAATTTCATCTTATTTCAGACAGACTAAAAAATGTTTTGAAATATCCTGCTGTTTATTTTTACAATAACGCTGCTAAGGGTTCAGAATTGGTGTTAGTTCTCTTATAAAGCAAGATTTGAGAGCAAGAGCATTATGTCTGAAGCCTTCTTCTGTGCTATTCACAACAAGCCTGCCAAACTAGGAAAGCACATCTGGTTATAACTCAAACAGCTCAACCTTATAACAAAGGAATGCATGTGTTCACATGGGAGGGTGTGTATAATGTGCAACGCCGTATGTTCTATAAAGAAGTCCAGCAGCTTCCGAATACAGACCCCTAGTGGACATGGATGGCAGTTGGTTTCAGGATGAACATATCGTTGACAAATCATTAAATAAGCAGGAATCACAAAGATCTGCAGGTGGAGGATGTCTCCTTAGGAGGTTTTACATACATAATTTTGATAGATTATATTTTTAATTTATTAGTTCTAGTTCTTCCCATAGCCCAGAGAAATATGCACCAGTAGATCATTGTCAGTCTGAATTATTCACACCGATGGCTAAAGAGATTGTGCTTGCTGGAAACTGAAATAATGAGGATGCAATGGGTTGTGATGGGAAGACCCTGGGCTGGGCTTTGGGTCAGGGAAGGCTGGATTGGAAGCCCAGCTCTCCAATTGACAGGCCCTGAGAGCTTGAGGAAGTTAATCAACCTTTTCTCACTGGGACCATCACACCTACCTGGCAGAAACTTAGCCAGGTTGGGATAATGTCAGTAACGTGCCTAACCTGGGCCCTGGCATGGGTGGCTCTTACTGTTACATGGAAGCTTTCCCTCGTACCCCCTCTTCCCTAAGCTGTCTGTTCAACCTCTGCAATTAGGAAGGGGGAGTAGAGTGCTTTGCTTGGGGAGCCGTTTTGAAATTCAGAAATGGGAACACAGTATTTGGCACTGGTGGCCATGAGACAAGAAGGGCAGAGTGACCCAGCAGGGGAGAGGCTTGACCCATTGGAGGCACAGCATCCTGGAAACGAGTCTTCCAGAGGATGAGGGTAAAACAACAAATCAGTGTCCTTCTCACTGGGACTCCTGAAGCCATATAACACTCTAACACTCATGAAGCCAGGACCTTGCACTGACATCAGTGCAGGAGACAACGGTTGGAGGTAGCAAGGCCGTGTCACAGGACAGGCTCCTGCTCGGGGGCTGCAGGTCATTCTGCAGATCCCCGCATCATGACTGCCTGGGGCAGAACCAGGGATTTTTGCAACAGCTGGCTAATGCCTCACACCACCCAGACCTGCCACATGACCTTACCATCTCTCTTCATGTGAGGTCAAAAATGAGGTCCCTCCTGGAAATTGTTTCAGGGGTGACCGACTCTTCGGGTTGAGTCTAAACTCCGTGCTACATCCCGGGTCACAAGCTATAAGACCATATTTTAATCAAGAATGTGCAGAGCATTCAAATTTCACAGTTTCCCAGGTTCTGGTCCCATATAGATTGGACGTGGATATCATAGATAAGAAGTCAAAGAACTAGGAGGACTTCAGTGAATGGAAAATAGCACGGCCCAAGGAAATAGTGTATGGGGCTGAGGTGTTCTTGGTAAGCTCCGTCGGGGATGAAGGGAAGCCTGGTAAGAATTGGTAAATCCTGATGGCATAACTAATGCCGTGAATAGGATTGCCTGGATACAAAAGGAAAGGAAGGCTGGTGCCAAGGAAAACCTCCCTGGCAGGACAAGGCCCAGAGTCACTGGCACGTCTGGAGACCTGGGAAATGGGACTCTTCAGTGCACCAGCCAGTGGACAGGCACACTCAGTCCGATAGGAAAGGTGGGTGCATTACCAGCATCACCTACTACACACCTGTTGTGCACATTAAATGTCTTACTCTCTGGGTGGTCAGAACCTTCCTTTCTTTTCCCTTCTTGGGATGTCGAGCCACTAGATGGAGACTTAACAGATTGTACCTAATACAAAACAACAAAACAGCCAGGCATATGGCTGGCCCTGGGGTGTTTCAGTTGCATTCACATGACATTTCTAATGGGAAGGTTTATAGAACGTTACACTCTAAACACGATGTGTAAATATAGGAAAACAGACTGGAGCAAGGTACCCAGGGGTCGGACAGGGGGCTGCTGAGGGCCCTACACCACCTTCCAGCAGACATCTGGCACCGACGCGGGCTGAGGAGCCTCTCAGGGTCAGGAGCTGAAATGCTCTGACGGGCTGTGAAATGCCTCCTCATGCATGTGATGAACTTCCTCTCAGCTCCGGGCTTCTCGTTGTAATTCAGTCTGTTTCTCCTGTTAAGTTTTTGCAGGGCCACATGCTGCATTCGCTGAGTCTGCCCGGATTATATTACAGCTCCTGGCAACTGCACAGAAAGAGGGCCTGGTTGTAGCTGGGCTGGTTTTCTCCAAGGTGCCTGGAGGCTTCTGTTATGGATACTTACATGAGAGCAAAGGGGGAGGTGGTTCCAGAAGCCCGAGGGCCTGTTGCACAGGAGGTTTTTAAATCTGTTTCCACTAATCCTCGATGCCAGCAGCGACCTGAGGTAGCCCCAGTGCCATGCAGGAAGTGCCAAACAGTGAACATGTGTTGGAGACTCTTCATGTTTGTGGTCGCATCGAATCCTCATCTTATGAGATAAACACTAAGCCACAGGTTAGGTCACTACTCAGGGTCACCGACTGGGACAGACAACACGGGGATTCAAATCTAGGCAGTCTAACCCCAAAATCCCCACACTAAGCACCATAAATATTTTTGGTAAATTCAGTAGACAGCTCATAATCCTAGCTATTTGGGCAGAGTATTGGGCAAGGGTTAAGGAACTGATGAACTTGCTGGTCCGTCTGTACTGTACACGAAGTCTCTGTTTCACTGGGCTGCTTGGCAGGATGCGGTGAATGAGAGCACGGGAGAGTTGTCTGTAGCCATGGTGAACCCGGGCGTCCTCAGATGTTGTTCCAGCCCTAACTGTGGCTTCATCCATCATCTTGAGAAAGGGCCCAAACTCTTGACTCCTAAGTTTCCAGTGTGAAATAGGACACAAAATACTTGCCATCTGTTTTCCTTATTGGACCATTAAGAGAGTTAGTAAGATAATTATTTTACATCATTCAAACTCCAGGAAAGGAAAGGATTGTCCAGACAGGTATCTGTTCTTGGACACAGTTTATTTTATAGTCTGCATCATTAGGACTATAAGTCTAAATCAGCCAGCCAGCATTCACCAAGTGTCCATCGGGCGTGCTAGCACCTGTGTTGCTCAGTCCCACCCATTGTAACAGGCTAACAGGGCTAAAGAAAAGACATCTGCTGCGTGTAATACAGGTAGGACGTCAGCCATCTCTGGGTGGATGTTTATCCTACTGGGGGTTAGGTCACAAGAAAGGGAAAGAAAAAAAATTCTGTTACTTGCATTTTTAAGGGGTGAATTTGTGGCACAGCCACACTTGATGGACATTCCACTGGGCATCACGCCAAGTAGTTCACAGACATGGTCCAGGCTCTCAAGGAATTTATCCTCAGAAATGTCTGCATGATGATGGTTGGCTTCTGTCTTTCCAACAGGCGTTGAAAGGAGACGCATCTATGACATTGTGAACGTGCTGGAGTCACTGCACCTGGTCAGCCGGCTGGCCAAGAACCAGTATGGCTGGCACGGGCGGCACAGCCTGCCGAGGACCCTGCGGAACCTCCAGAGACTAGGAGAGGAGCAGAAGTACGAGGAGCAGATGGCTTCCCTCCAACAGAGGGAGCTGGACCTGATGGATTACAAATTCGGAGAACGTAAAAAAGATGGCTGTGCAGATCCCCACGATCAACAGTTGCTGGATTTCTCGGAGCCCGACTGTCCCTCCTGTGAGTTCATTGTAACCACGTGGGTAATAGCAGAGAGACAGGGATGGTCTCTTCTGAAGAGACTCACTGCTGAGGTGGGAAGTGCCAGATTGACAACCCTGGAGGGAGGTGTCCTCTTACTCTCTCCACTGAAGAAAGGCAGACAGATGGCTCCCCCGCCAGGTTGCCCACTCACCCTCACTGAAAACCTGTCTACTGGCAGATCACTTGGTTGTTGGTGTTTGGACCGCAGATCGCCAACGGAGCTCCCATTCCAGATTGACAGCCCCTTGCTGGTTTCTGTTTGTGAGCCTTTAAGGAAAATTTGCTCTGAAAGAAGTTATCGTTACAATGAAATTAATTTTTCAAGTTACACATGGGAGTAGATTATGTAGAAAAGAACCCCATTAGCAGCACATGTTGATTAGAAGGATAGACACTGGATGCAGAATGTTTTTCACTGACGTCTACATTGGTCTTCCCCTCCCGACTCATTTTATCCTCTTCCTGTCTTAACCATTGCTCCTCATCGTTCTCTCCCTACTCCCTCCTGCTAAGATGATCAAGTGCAAGTATCACTCACATTTCACTTGCAAATTTAAGAAACAGGAATGGAAAGGTGGGCCTGGTTTTCATTCAGTTTACTGCCTCTTGCCTTTTAGTTCCAGCCCATGAGCCAGTTGTATCTTAATAACCAGGGGAGACAGCCATCTGTTGGGATGGTTTGCCTGCCATCCTCAGCAGCACACATCTCATCAGTTCTCCTATTTAGTTACAGTTTATTTCTGAAAAGAAATGGAAGAGGTGGGCACCTGCTGTGATTACAGTACATGCTGGATACAGACATACCTCAGAGCCAGTGTGGGTTTGGTTCCCGACCACCACTATAAAGCACGTTGTAATCTTTTTGCTGGTGAAGGGTTCTTGCCTTCAATTTGTAAAAAAAAATACAGTATCTGTGAAGTGCACTAAACAAGGTTTGCCTGTATTGTGGGCACAGAGAAATTAAAGTAGAATCCTTGCCTTTGAGGTCAGAGTGGATGTTTGAAAACAGTTTCTCATCCCTACCCTATCCCCCCCCCACACACACTTTTTTTTTTAATCCTCACCCGGGGATATTTTTCCATTGATTTTTAGAGAGAGTGTGGAAGATAGAGGGAAAGACAGTGAGAAATATCGATGTGAGAGAAATACATCAATTGGTTGCCTCCTGCATGCGCCCTGACTGAGGTACGTGCCCTTGACCAGAATCAAACTGGGACCCTTTGGTCCACAGGCTGACGCTCTATCCACTGAGCCAAACCGGTTAGGGCTCTATCCTATCCTTTTCTCCTCCCACATCAATCCTGGCAGAGAGCTGCTTTAGGAAAACCACCTCCTGCTTTCTGTTCCACAGTGAGTATAAAGCATTAAGAGTGGGTTAACATTCGCCTTTCAGCGTCTATTCCTACGGGAATCTTATGAGCAGCAAGAGAATCCGCCTTGTCTTTTTGAGCCATCGTCTGTGACTGTGTGTCCAGAAGCCTTTTCTCTGTAACAGAAGTGATCTTTCCATTCACTAGCAGAGTCAGATCATTCTGGCAAACTGTAAATAGAGTCTTTCTTGTGGTAAATTATCTTTTTTGATGCCTTTGTTTCGTTCCCTTTGTAGCATCTGCAAACAGAAAAGACAAGTCTCTGAGAATCATGAGCCAGAAGTTTGTCATGCTGTTCCTCGTCTCTAAAACCAAGATTGTTACTCTCGATGTGGCTGCCAAAATCCTGATAGAAGGAAGCCAGAATGTGCTGGACCACAGTAAATTTAAAAGTAAGCACCCTCACCTGAACCCACCTCGCTGGCCCAGGGAGGGCGGGATTCATACGGTGATGTTTCTTTCTGCCTCTAAAAGTAAAAGAAAAATGGTTTTTTGGAGAAGTGCACTCCTTCCTGCATCCCAGAATCCTTGGGGCTGTGAGAGGTAAGTTAGTCACCTGCTAGGATTCCCATTGACGTCTCCTTGGCAGTTAGAGTGGACGGTGGAAGCAGAGTGCCATCCACAAATGCAGGTCAGGGTGAGTGTAAGATACTTTGCATTTCTCTTTAGTATCACAGCATCCAAGACAGAATGTCTGAGTTTTGTTTCCCCTTTCCCCCCACCCCCACCCCCCGCTTACTCTTCTGATGGGTGGAGATGAAAGGTGTGTACAGGTAAGAAGCAGCGGAATGACCAGAGTAGGGGAAGGGTTGTGGGACATGGCTGTGGACAAGGAGAGCGTTTCTGAGTTTCCTATTTTCTGTCGAGCGTGGGTCCCAAGCCAGAGGCCCTTGGCTGCTGGTAGTCCTTTAAAGCCTTGGGGAGGCATGAGCTCAACATACCTTGTTTGTTTGTGTTTCCAGCTGGAATTATAGCCATCCTGTGGGAGAAATGACTAAATAAAATCTAAGCTCTCCCCCTATTGGGAAGAAAATTGCATCTGGGATGAATGTTTGCTATTTCTAGACAATCATCAATGTTCTTTGCTGTATCTTAGCCCTGAAGTCAAGTGGGTTTCCTACCTGTAAATTGATTTCTTAAATAGAAATTACTTTCTGGGCATCACCTGCCTATTTACTGTGTTACCACCCCTTCTGAATTTCTCTTCTAGTCCATGCATTTTCAAATGTGTCTCCCCAAACCTCTTAAGACTCAAGGATTGTGCATCCCACCCCTCCCCTCTGGGTGGCCAGAGGCTGGGACTTCAGGTGAGGAACTGCCTGTCTTCAGCACAGCGGTACCTCAGAATCCTGAGCCCGGAACACCCTCTGTGCCCAGGAGTGCGGCTTTGCAGGAAGCTCTGGGGATTCCCTGTCATGTTCACAGCCCAGCTGCCTGGTGGAGCTGGTGCCACAGCCTCCTGCTGGGCAGGCTTCCGACATGCCACACGTCAGAATCACACTCACTGAGCCTCTAATTACAGCCCGCTTCCCTCCCTCGGGTGTTTTTGCAATCAGGGCTCTCCCTGCTTGTCTTGGAAAGGTGTGAAGCTGTGGAAACGGAAGGACACGCCGACCTTGGTCTGTGACTGCAGATGCATAAATCCTGGGTGATTTCATGACAGAGCCATTGGTCATTTCATCCCACCCACTGCTCTCCCCTGAGATGTATATGGTGGCCAAGAAAAGTGACCTGTCACGTAAACTACAGTGTAATGGTGCCACAGGCAGCATGACCGTAATTGTGTTTGATGTCTTCCAGCAAAGGTCCGACGTCTCTATGACATCGCCAATGTCCTGACCAGCCTGGCTCTGATCAAGAAAGTGCACGTGACAGAAGAGCGAGGCCGTAAGCCAGCCTTCAAGTGGATCGGGCCTGTGGACTTCGCTTCCAGTGGTGAGGCATGGTTTTGTTAGGCACCTATTTTACTTAAAATCCTACATTTCTAAGTCCTTTTCTGAATCCTACATCTACTACAGAGTGAGATCGATCTTCTCCCTCATTTTCCGTTACCCAAGTCACCTTCAAATTAGACTGTGATGTCACTCTCGGAACAGTGAGTATTAGTCCACAAATGGTACGTGCTGGTCGGCTCACACAGTTGGAGGGGAAATACTGAGAGCTTATGATGTGGGAGTTTCTGTAACTAGTAAATGACAGCCCTTTAGCATGTTCTATTTTATTCAGAAGATTTTTTTTTTCCTAGAAATTTGGGACAGGGGATTTAGAATGGCATTTATAAACTGGAGTGATGTCTACATTAGTGGAATAAAATACTGTTTTTCTTTGAAATTCCACATAATGTAAAAATTATACTATTGCTATCATGAAACTAATATATGGTAAAAATGGCTCCTAAATATAGTATAGATGCAATGAACACCTGTTTTTTATCATTTATTTCAGAGGTTACAAAATTCAATTTTACTAAACTAGAGCAGAAGAGGGTATTATCTTCTACCTATTTCACAGGTAATAGCTGAGCAATTGGGGACTGGATCCTACCGTACCAGCTACTTTACATATAACGAGGCTGCCTGAGAAAAAGCCATTAAAGTTATTTTTAAATTACCCTTGCAATTTTGGTGTTAGTGGCATAAATTCCTGCCACTTAACCCAGGCCTATAGAAGATACAGCTCTCTACCTCATTGTAGCACATTATTCACTTTGGATCTAGATGAAACCACTTGAAATCTAGTGTAACTAATTCACCCAGCAAGTACTTACTGCGTGTGGACTGTGCACGTGCCATGAGAGACTAAAGCTGCATACAGCACGCCATCCGTGCCTACATGGAATACACAACGTTGCCCTTTTCTGTTGCTCTGCCTTTGGCTTCTCTTCATCCTTTCACCTGTGAAGCCCTCTTCTCTTGGACATGAAAATACTCTGTTCCCCTTTCCAGATCTGTCACAAATGTCAACTCCTCCATAAAGCTTCCCTTGTCACCCAGAGCAGAGTCTCTCATCTGAACTGCTGCACTTTACTATCATGCTGTTGTACTTGGTGATGCTGATGTGATGCTGTGGTCCCTGCTCCGTGGGCTTGAGGGCAGAAGAGGTCTTTGTTCATCTTTGATTATCTGAAGTACCCAGATCCGTGCCTTGCTCACTTTCGTTGGTTAATGAGCCTCTACTGGAGTCGTATAATTAGCACTCATTTGAAACTTAGAATAACAGTCAAGCACTACACATGGTGGTAGTGGTGCTGTAGGAAATCAAAGGATATGGGTGAAGTTCTGATGGACTTTTAGGTTTTGGAGGGATGGAGAGCTTTTTAGTTGAAGGAACTGATACCTAAGCACAAGTCTGGTGTGTCGGGGAGAGACCAGCCATCCTGGTCTGAGTGGAGGGCATAGGGCAGAGAGTGATGAGACATGAAGTGCGATCAGTTGGAACAGAATTTTTGCTGGGCTTCAAAGGGTAAGCAAGACATTTGTACTAGAAGCATAGACTGACGTGACAAGGGGTCTTTAGTCTTTAGATAGGTTGAAAGAGAGGAGGGGTTCAAGGATGGTGGTATCATTGCAGAAAATGAGGTAGTTGGGGAAATGAGCTGGAGTTGAGAAAATGAGTTCATGTATTTGCATAACCAGTGGGACAGCAACTGCGGGGAGCTCTGATCTGAGGAGGGAAAGAGGGCTTGGTACCAGGTCAGGAACCTCAAAAGTAGCTGCTTACCTACCCTCAGAAATGTGATCCTTGTTCTGCATTCCCTGGTTTCTACTGATATCCTCATCATCAGCCAGCTGTCAAATTTGGAACATCGAGTTACTTTTGATTCCTTAATTCACTCCTTGATTAGCAGTGCCTCACAATTAAACTTCATAGATGTCTCTTTCCTATCTCCCTTCCCACCATCATGGCCTTTTCTTCCTTTTAACAGCTTTATTGAGATATCATGGCACATTATAAGTGGAATGTGGTTAAAGTTACAATGTGATAAGCTTTTGCATTGTCTGCATCTGTGAAATAATCACCGCAGTCAAGACAGTGAGCCCATCACCCTCCAGAGTCTCTTCTGTCCCTTCAAACTTCTTCCTTCCTCCCCTTCTCTCTCCGCAGGGGAAGCCCCTGATCTGCTTTCTTTCACTCTAGATTTGTTTGTATTTTATAAAAATTTTTATCAGTGAGTCACCTACAGTCATTATTCACAGACTAGAGGCCCGGTGCACGACATTCGGGCACTGGGGTGGGGAGGGGGGAGTGCAACCTGGCCTGCACCCTCTTGTAGTCTGGGACCCCTCGGGGGATGTCCCCTCAGGGAACGGGCCTAAGCCGGCAGTTGGACATCTCCTGAGGGGGATCTTTAGCACTGCTGTGGAGGCGAGAGAAGCTCCCACTGCTGCGCTCGCCAGCCATGAGCCATGAGTCATGAGTGACCACCAGGGGGCAGCTCCTGCATTGAGCTTCTGCCCCCTGGTGGTCAGTGCATGTCATAGTGACCAGTCGTTCTGCCGTTTGGTTGATTTGCATATTAGCCTTTTATTATATCGGATTCCATATTTGCAAATTTATCTACTCAAATTTGTCACTCCAAAAGGAATACTCGCAGTATTTTCTAAGTTGTTCACAGATATGCAGAGAATGGCAGAAAGTTTGAGTTGCCAACTGAGGTCAAGCTGGACAGTGCTCTGCCTTGTTTCAGCTCTCATACTATAAACAAGTGTCCTTTTTGTGGTCCTTTTAATGCCATGTTTCACATTTGTGTGCTTGGAGTTGGTGATTTCGCTGTTTGAAATGGTACCCAAGTGTTGTGCTGAAGCGTTGTCTAGTGTTTCTAAGTGATGTACCTTACAGAGAAAATACATGTTAGAGGAGCTTCATTGAGACATGAGTTCTAGTGCTGTTTGCTATAAGTTCAGAACTGATGGATCAACAATATGTATTAAATAAGGTGTCTTTAAACAGAAACACATAAAACAGGGTTATGTGTAGATCAGTTGACAAAAATGTTGTGACCAGAGGCATGCAGGAACCTAACCCTATATTTCCTCTAGGAACAGTGCTTCAGTGTTTGCTAATTAATTGTTCCTGCTCACTTTACAGAACATGAGAACCACAAACAACAAGAATAGGCTGTACTCCCTATACTCTTTATCAAGCTTCTTTCACTCGGCATAATTATTTTTAGATTAATCATGTAGTAGCATTTATCAGTAGTTTTTTCCTTTTATTGCTAAGAAGTATTCCATTGTATGGCTATATCATTCTTCAATCATTTACATGTTGATGGACATTTGGATTATTTCCATTTTTTGGCTGTTACAAATAAAGCTACAATGAATATGTATGTAGCCCTAGCCAGTTTGGCTCAATAGGTAGAGCATTGGCCTGCAGACCAAAGGGTCCCGGGTTCTATTCCAGTCAAGGGCACATACCTCGGTTGCAGGCTCCTCCCCAGCCGAGGCCCTAGTTGGGGGTCATGCAGGAGGCAACCAATTGATGTGTTTCTCTCACATCGATATCTCTCTGTCTTTCCCTCTCTCTTCCACTCTCTCTAAAAAGCAATGACAAAATATCCTCGGGTGAGGATTAAAACATATATATATGTATATATGTATATATACATATATACGTATACATATATACATATATATGCATGTACATTGTCCCCACTATTGAAACAACACAGTATTCCTTCTGCTCCTTTTGAGTGGTTCTTTCCCCTCTGGCCTTGGGTAGTTTTCTCACCTGTGTGAGTACTCCACTGAGTACCCGAGGGGCACCTTCCACCCATCTCCAGCATTCTCCTTCTGTATGGCTCTCCTCTAATATCCTGCCATGCAAACTCCAGCTGCCTTGGCTTTCCTGGCCTCCCAGCTCCATCCTCAACCTGGAGAGACTTCCAGGCTCTCTCAAGGTTCCCCTCTCTGCACCCCAACCTGGAAACAGTCTCCAGGCAGTGAATTGGGGCAGTCATGGAGCTCACCTCATTTGATTCCTGGCTCTAAAGGATCATTGTCTTTCATGTCCTGATGTTCAGTGTCGTGAGAGCCACTGGTTGATTTATATATATTGTCCAGTGTTTTGTTTCAGGAAGGAGGGGAACTCTGATCCCTGTTATTGTCTTGACCCATTTTTTTCTTTTTGATTCTGTAATTTCTGAATTTCTAAAAAGAACATTTACTGTGTTTTTGTTATAAGAAATAGAAAGGTGATTTTCTTTTTCAATGTTTGTGTGTTTTAGAGACTATAAGTGTGGCTGGACCTTTCAGTCTATTTAATCGGCCTTATTAAAATGGGCATGCTTTGAGCTCTGAAATAAACAGCACAGAAGAGCAGGGTAGGAATAACTGTCTGAGCAACAGCAATGGGGACTGTTTCTACCTAGAAATACAGGGCTGGTTCTATGTAGAAATTCTGTCCTGACTTCATATTGGCTCCTTGAAGCATAAAACGGGCCCCTCAGGCCCAGCCCTTTATTATCCTTACTATTCTGCAGCATTTCAACTATGAGGTTTCTGTTGACCTTATTCCTTTGGTCACTGGGTAACGGAGCCTCCTACTGCATAAGAAATAATAAAGCCATAGAATCCAGAAATTTTTATATTCATTGCCTTAGAGCTATGGCATAAGAGACTGATTTCATTTAACGTTAAAAACCTCAAAATATGCACGTTGAGCTGAGCATAGCTGGGCTTCCCTTTGATACTCTGCCCAAAGAAAGTATCTAAAATGTTAGGTCCCTTCTATTTTGGGGTGAAAAACATCTTGCTCTACTTTTATTGCAGTTTAGGTAATTTTAGAATATATATGGAGTTAGTCTCACTTTATAGTCCTCCACTAACTTAAAAAGAATTGTACATCAGAAGAAATTGGGGTTTGAGACAGGCTCATATAATTCCTTGGAGTGTCTGAGTTTCTCATTTATAGGGTAGCTCCATTACAATGATAGGCTTTCCAAGCCATATCTTAAAAAGGTAAAGTTATCCGGAATGATAGCTGTGTAACAACACTGCCAAATCTTCCGTTTATGTAGATGAAGAACTAGTGGATGTTGCTGCATCTGTCTTACCAGAACTGAAAAGTGAACCATACAGCAAAGTTCACGTCTGTGCTGCACAGAAGCTGGCTCGACGTGGCTCCTTCAACAGAGTTCCAGCTTCTGAGAGGAGTCACAGGAAAGTGAACTCGGGACCCAGCAGCCCTTCCAGGGAAGAACAAGGTATCTACCTGCCTTTGCTGAACCCTGGACTCCGTCAGCCCATGTCATCGTAGCCTTACCCTCCACGCGCTGGCACTTTAAATCCAGTCGCCTCTCTAGGCCCTGCCTGTTTTTTCACTACCCTGAAATGGGACAACTATTGGGGGTAGAGAGTTGGTGACTTCACAGGGTGTGACCATGGGCCTATTCCTTGATACTGATCCTAGTCAGCCTGGAAGATCAATTAGCTTGCCATGGATGGCCTGTTTGATGCATCTCAAAAATGCATCCGACTTACAAAGCAACACTTGTTTTGTTTCTCTTCCCAATTTTCGATGAGACCTGAATTTACCAGTAACAGCTTGCTTCTCAAAATGTCTCTCTTTGAATTAAAACCAGAATAGACTTGAGATAGTCTTAGAGTCCCTGAGCTGTGAAAATGCATCCTGCTATAAAAAACTGGTATGTATACGTCTCTTGCTGTATTTCTTAGACCTTCCTTTTCCTTTATAGGACCAGGTGGCTTCCTAGAAATTGGAAGTCTGGCAGCTATTTACCAGCAGCAAATAGAAGACAAGCCACAGTAAGTCTTTTAAAAACTCCAGGTGTATTCTTCTCTATTTCCGAATGTTAACTTGGACTAAATTGAAATGCCACCCACCCAAAGGTAACTTTTAGCAATCTTGCTCCTAAGTCAGCCATTTGTTTATTGAAAAGTTTGTAAGTTTACCCTTTATGCAAAACAATGTGCATGATATAGCATCAGGGACACAAAAGTACAAAAAATTATCCCCTGAGCTATGAAAGCTTATAGGGAAAAAAATTAAACAAATGCCCCCCAAAAGATAAATCACTACTAGTGTGACACTGAAAAATGATACATCATAGTCCATGAATCACTTTGTCATCATTGTAACACGTGACTGCCAGATACTAATCCAGAAGTTTTATGTATATTAACTCATCTAATCATAACAATCTTTTTTTTTAAATCGTCACCTGAGGATATTTTTTCCATTGATTTTTTTTAGGGAGAGAATAGAAGGAAGCGGGGGGTGGGGGTGGAGAGAAACATCGATGTGAGAGAGACACATCAATTGGTTGCCTCCTGCACGTGCCCCACCACCCGCAACCCATTTATGTGCCCTTGACCAGTAATTGAACCTATGACCCTTTGGTGCATGGGCCGACACTCTAACCACTGGCCAGGGCTAGTCATAACAATCTTTTGAGGTTGGTACTGTTATTCTCCTTTAACAGCAGTCACATGTTATTAGAGGAAATGCTAAAGAAGGAACAAGAGGCGTTTTTAATGACTGATGGCTTATAGGGAAAAAAATTAAACAAATGCCCCCCAAAAAGACAAATCACTACTAGTGTGACACTGAAAAATGATGGATCATAGTCCATGAGTCACTTTGTCATAATTGTAACACGTGACTGCCAGGTACTAATCCAAAAGTTTTATGTATATTAACTCATCTAATCATAACAATCTTTTTTTTTTTAAATCCTCACCAGAGGATTTTTTTTCCATTGATTTTTAGGGAGAGAATAGAAGAAAGGGAGGAGGGGAGAGAGAGAGAAACATCGATGGGAGAGAGAGAGAAACATCGATATGAGAGAGACACATCAATTGGTTGCCTCCTGCATGCACCCTACCAGGGCTGGAGACTGAACCCACAACCCAGGTATGTGCCCTTGACTGGTAATTGAACCTATGACCCTTTGGTGCATGGACCGACACTCTAACCACTGGCCAGGGCTAGTCATAACAGTCTCTTAAGGTTGGTACTGTTATTCTCCTTTTACAGCAGTCACATATTATCAGAGGAAATGCTAAAGAAGGAACAAGAGACGTTTTTAATGACTGATTTGGGAAGAAACAGATTCTGAGGCAGGGTCAGGGAGTGGAGGGACAGCAAGCTGATTAACGATAATGATTTACCCAAATAGGATAGTGAAAGGAAACACCATTCAGAAGAAGAGCTTAGGGTGTTGGAGGTAAGTAGGCCAAGTTGGCAAAAAGCTTTGAAAGCCAGGTAGAAGGGTTTGGATTTAGGAGACAGATGGTGCAGACTATTGCAGGTTCACCAGGGAAGACCATTCTGGCTGCTTTAAGCAGGTGGGATTGGAAGTAGAGAATATCCTCTAAGTGAGCAGATCACAGAGCAGAGCATTTGCAGCAATTCTGTCTGTGGTGCAGGCCTGAGCTGGCGCAGCCAGAGGTGGAACGCAGTGGGATAGGTGAGTCAGCAGGACCTACCAGAGCAGGAGGAGGCATTGCAGAAACACCTGGGTCTCAGATGATGGTGACAGTGGTGGAGATGGAGAGACTGACGGGAGACGGCTGGGGGTAGGAAGATGGGTGATGTGCTCAGTGTGGACACACTGGGTTTCACAGAGCTGAGTAATAGCGATTGCTTGCTCAGAGGGGGCTGTGGTTGAGAGTCACTCAGCACTGCAGCCCGGAGCACTCCATTTTATTCCCAGCAGCACAGTAGACAATGAGATTGTGGGCAACCCAGGTCTCAGTGATTCCAACAGAAAAGTAGTCAGAAATCCCTGTTCTCTGTGTACCAGTTTCTAAAGGAGTTTCCTCATCTATTTCCAAAAATATACTGAACATATAAGCATTTTGTTTTTTAGTATTTGGAAATTTTTTTGTATAAAAGGCCAGATAATGTTTATAATCTCACATATTGATGGGCCTTGATTTTGAATGCGTTGCCTAAAAAGTCTATAGTAATACTGAGCAGAATGGGACAAGAATGACAGAAAAGAATAATTTTGTAGATAAGTGTATTTCCTCACTCATTGCCCACTTCATTTGTCTCACAAAGGATTTGAGATGAATGGGATGTATCCTTGAAATCAAAGTTGTCAATCTCTTAAGCAGCTCGGATCTCTCACGGTGACTGAGCAAGAGGCCCCTCTGGGTGACCTTCGGCAGATTGCTTACCCTCTGAACCTCAGTTTTGTTCCCTAGTAAACTAGGGGGATGAGAGTGGCGACTAATATTATAAAAGTTGTGTAAAGTATTATAATGTTGTGCTAATTATTGTAGTACCCATGTGCCTGGTAAGGGGTACCTGCTGGGTAGTTGATAACTATTAGATGTGGAAGGGGCCAGTATTAGCTCTAAACAGATCCTCCCAGAGCAACTCCCCCATTAGCCATCAGCTCCCCCCCGCCCCCACCAACTGTCGATCCTGGTTATACCTGGTCATCGCCTCTGCGGTTAGGTTACCTAATGTGTGTTTAGGGAATACACTTTAACAACCGAGCAGTATTCCCCACTCTTGCTTTGGTGCGTCTCTTCAGAAAAGTAGAGTCGGGAGTTGGTAGAATGTGGTAACTCAGTGGTTCCTGTTGTTTCTTTTTATTACAGGGGCAAAGCCTTGGACGGGGAGGGGGTGACGCTTCCATCCAGCAGCCTGGACCCCGCCGCTCCTTTCCCTGTCCACCCTGTGGACTCAGAATACTGTGTCAATCCTTTAGTCCACCAGGTGTTTTCCGTGCCTCAGACGGACTTGCAGGCCTTCTCCACACAGAATGGTCTGAATAGACAAGTAGGTGTCTCCCTCGCTTCTGCGGCCTCAGACGTGGAGAGCCTGAAGCCAGGCCTGCTGGCCGGCCAGCCCCTGCTGTACGTGCCCTCCACCTCTCTGTTCATGCTGTGCGGGAGCCTACAGGAGGGACCGCCCCCGGAGCCCGGGTCCGAGAGGGACAGCAGAGGCTCAGAGGCCTCAGCCGCAGCGCTGTGGTCCACACCCACAGCCCAGAAGCGCCTGGGTGAGGAGAGGCAGCTGCCAGAGGAGGAGGAGGAGGAGGAGCCAGCCGCTAAAAGACAAAGCAGGGGCTACGAAGACGGCCCTCTGTCCCTGGTCATGCCCAAGGTAAGGGCGTCCCGGTGGATTCTTGGGTGGGTGTGTTTAGGGACGTCCCGTTACCGGAGCTTCTTTCTAATGAGGACACACCGAGGTTAATAAGCTACTGAATCTGGAATAGGGGGTATTTCATGAGCCACTTGCATATTTAAGGCCTGAACTAGCTTTCCCCAAAAGGCTTGCCGTAAAGTAGTACTGTAAGAAAAGTAAGTGATTTTTATGAAAGTCACACTTCGTATAAAATGACAAAACGTTTAAAGAAAAGTTCTACCCATTATGCCACCACACAGAGGCCACCACTGTTCACACGCCTGTATATTTCCTCCCGGTCTTGTTGCCGTCCTTTTGTTTTAAATACATTGAGATCACCGAACCGTCTTAATCCAGGGCTCAGCTAAGTTCCAGAGTCCGGAATGTGGATGCTACTTCACTTTCAGAGCCTGTGCTTGGTCAGTTTTCATCTCTGCTCAGAGATCCCGTCTCCCTCCCCACGAAGTGAAAAGAGCAAACACAGGAGCTGTCCACGTCTCCCGCTCAGTGGCCATGCAGAGGTTGATGAGGCGTGACCAGTGAGACTCGCAGACAGCAGGAGCACTGGCTTTGCAGCGGGTTGCAGTGGGTCAGCTGGGCGCCCTTCATGGGAATCAGTTCGTTAATTAAGGCCCTTTCTGCTGCCGGGGTGAATTTTCCTAAGTGTGTATGTAGTGTGGGTTGCAGAACAGAAATGAAAGACTGACTGGTATGTGCCTTAGATAACCAAGACAGCTTTGGGCCTCCCCGCAATTCTTATCAGGCCCCTCAAAGACTGTGGTATCATCACCCTTTCTGTGCTGGCAGCTCAGAATCATATTGCACAATCTGAACATCATGGCCCATTTTCCCGTTTATGAAAATCTCCGCCATTTCTATGCTTGAGATGTGACGCTGATTTTCAGGCCATTCCTAAAACGTGACTGAGACAACAGACATACACAAGTCACTGTTGTGCACAGCTGTGTTTGACCTTCCTGTTCTATGGTAGTTGTTTTGGTAAAGCTGTTAAGATTTGCTGCTGGGATTTTGACTTGCTTTTCTGGTTCCTGGTTTGGTTGTGCTTAGAAATCCGCAGATTCCTCAGATGTTGCCTCTCCCAAGATGCGGGGTAACAGGGCGTCTGTGTCCCTTGAAGACATGCCCTTGAATAGCCACCTGCCTGCTGCAAGGGGCGTTTGGGGAAAGGCTCCAGCACATGGCTTCGTTTCTTCCGAGTGGGGAAGTCTTCCAAGGAACACAGAGATTGAAAAGCCTTTGCAAGAAAATGAAGGCACCACCGAGCCCTCTTTGCTGCAGTGTCTTTACGTGCAGCCATCAGCCGGTAAGGGATGTCATCATGTCCCGAAGGCCCTTGGGGTAATCGACGATCAGTTGGATTTTTAAATCTTGTTCCGTGTCACCTGACCAAAGCAGTTCATTGATGAGCCTCTGAGTCATTTTACTCTCAGCCCTCTTGTTTCCTCCACTGATGAAACGAAGGGAGAGGCTGCTTAGACTTTCTCCAACCTCCAGGTTAATGGGGAAAAAATTATGCAAGTGATTTTTTTTAAAAAATGTATTAAACTTTATTTGCTAAAAAAAGCACAATAGCCCTGACCAGGTGGCTCAGTTGGTTGGAGCCTTGACCCATATACCAAAAGGTTGTGGGTTCCATTTCTGGTCAGGGCACATACCTAGGTTGTGGGTTCGATCCCCAGTTGGGGCACCTACAGGAGGCAACTAATCAATGTTTCTCTTTCACATCGATGTTTCTCTCTCTCTCCCTTCTCTCTAAAATCAATAAAAAACATATCCTTGGGTGAGGATTTAAAATTTTAAAAGGCACAACAAATTCAAAAAATGGTTCTTTTTTATAATTCGGCTGAGTCTGGCATTGGTTCAGTGTGACAGTATGAGCCAGTTGGCCACTGTGTGCCCCTAGTGTGCTGATCTCTTGAATGTCCAGAGGGACAGAGCCTGTGACTGGTCTGGTGGCAGGGCTGCCGCAGAAGGGCTGGGTGAGAAAGCCACCTGTTGTCTGTGGGAGCGAAAGGCACGTGTGCAGCCACCCTCATTGGTAAAACGACAGTCACAACAGCACCTGCTTCATGGGGCGAGGGGTGCTGTGAAAATTCAGTTCAATAAGAATACATCTGAAGCATTTAGAATAATAGTGTCTGACACTTAGTAAGACTCAGTAAATGCTGTTACCATTTTGAAGTAAAGCTGAAATATAATAGACACCTAATTTAGATATGCACAGAGTACATGAAGCTGCTCTGGATGGAAAGAGACTTAAATTGATTTTCCTCAAGTCCTTGTTCACTTCACAGGTAGGTAGGAACTGGTTATTATTCGCTCCTCTAGAAGACATTCTTTATTCCTTTAGCAAGTATTTTGTGAGAGTTTAAACGTGATTCTCAGTGTTACAGATATATTGAACAAAACCCAGACGCGGCCATGGGCCCTTTGCCTCTGTGGTACAGCCCAGGGATTCCTCCTCAGCACACTTACAAGTGCACAGAACACAGGGATTACAAAGGAAGCCAATTATATGGAAACTAGAGGCCCAGTGCACAAAATTCCTACAAGCTGCTCGGCCCTCACAGCCCCGGCTTCATCCGGAAGGTCACCCGGAAGGATGTCCGAAAGGTTGTTCAGCTGTCCGGTCTAATTAGCATATTATGCTTTTATTATTATAGATACAGTTAGAGAAATGTTTTTAAATTATAGTAATAAAAATATGTGACAGAAAATCCAATACTCTCATAATTTCAAAATTGTGATGAGCGTAACAGTCTATTCAGAAATCTGCCATAGCTGTAATGTTCTATGAATATATCTGTGTTTGTTCTAGTGACAAAGTCAAGGTAGTAGTAACACTGTTGTGATGTGTTGCCCATGATCTTAACTGAGGGAAATATAAATTTCAGCTACAGTTGATAGAAGTAAAGATATTTTTTCCCATCCAAGTTCCATTCCTCCTCCATTTCAATGCAGTGGTGTTCACATTGAAATCCCCCTCGGAAGACATAGGCATCACCCAGTTCTCATACAGAAATATGGGGGGTTTCAGCCAGAGCTGCTGCTGCAAAGAGGCAGTGCCAGCTGGGAGAGCACAGGGGAGGGGCTGGGAGGGCACAGGGGAGGGGCTGACTGCTCAGGTGGGGTTGATTCACTGGGGGCTCCCATTTGCAAGTGCCCTGAGGAATTTGAGCTTGAATGGGACCTTCATTCTGACTTTTGCCTTGTTCTGCTTGTTTCAGGATTAAATGGTCTCAATGTGCTCTTACCTGGCAGTCAGACCCCTCATGCTATGAGACCACCTTCGGGTCAGCTGCCACCCCTCGGTGTCCCTTGCATGGTCTTACCATCTTCGACACTGGGCCCATTTCCTGTTCTCTACTCTCCCACAATGGCCGGGCCGGTTTCCCCTGCCCCTGGCTCTGTCCCAAACACGGGACCTGGGAGTTTCCGCTTGCCAGGCCTCGGATCAACGCCTCATCTTCTCATCGGCCCTGCAGCCCTGGTTAACCCAAACTCCTCGACACTCCCTCCAGCAGACCCTCAGCTTCAGGGTCCCCACTCACTTACCCAGAGTCCAGTGATGTCCAGACTGCACAACGCCACCCAGCCCACATCCCCAGTGTACGAAGGACACCCAGGCTCTGTGGTGAAATTACAGCAGGTGAGTCCTGAAGTTTTGTTTCCGTTTGCACAAGAAGGCTCATCGCTCTGGGACGGGGGTGCCTGCATCTCACCAGCTTTGGTGTTAGTCACCTGACTGCAGGGCAGCGGCTCCGGGTGAGGTTCTCCCAGCTTCCCCTACAGACCCCATTACCTGCTTATAAAGTACAAAGGCCTATGGCAGGAGATCCGTGCTTTAAAGACAAAAATGTTTCTTACTTGTTTTTAATTAGAGGAAATTATTTTAGGCTTAGTTCAGGTAAATTTTTGATGAATGCTGAATGTTCAGATTCTCCAAGTTTTCATTTCGTTAGATCCATAAAGGAGACCACCCTGAATTTTAATTGTGCAGAAACAAGAGAAACTTCGGAAGTCTTGATACTGACACAAAGATTTTTGGCATCTGTCATTTCTTAAAATAATGCAGTGTTTAGGAGGCATCTATATGCATACACACTCAGAATAGAGGCAAATGTACATATATAAGTGTATATGATTAATATAAATTAATCAAACTATATTTCTCCCCCAAACTCCATTTATACTTTAGTCAATAAGTATTTGTTGAATTCCTTTCATGCATTAAGCATTTTTCAGAGTGCTTTCTCTCCGAAAGAAAGAGTTATGTTGTGGCAAAAAAATATTTTAAACATGTTATTCAGAGGCTCAGAAGTTTAGTAGACGTTGAAATAAACATGGTAGTTTTTAAACAAGGCTATTACAACGTAACATATACTTTTTGATCACCAGTTATGTGCCGGGCACTGACCTAGGCAGTGAGGGTATAACAGTAAACAGGATAATAGTCCTGCCCTCCTAGAGTTTGTTAAAGGGATACATGTTTAACATTTAACAGGAGAGGATAAATATCAATAAACAAAAAGAGCCAAGAAACATATACTTACTGTTTGCCTGGCATGCTCTAAAGTACCTTATCAGTATTATATTGTTCAGTTTTTACAACCTCTAAAGTCGGTACTTTTATCATCCCCATTGTATGGATGAAGAAACTGAGGCCCATACTGGTTAAATCATTTGCCCAAGGTCACACAGCTAATTATGGCAGAGCCCAGACCCTGGCTCCAGGTGCCACGCTTATAAATTCTTTGTTAGGCTGCCTTTCTGCACACAAGATAAGTTAATTTCCAATTGTGCTAAGTGTTGAGATACGTCGCATGAATGTGATAGAAAAGCAAAGAGGAGGGACCGCCTGCTTAGGGACCATAATGACACAGGACTTCCAGTTTAGAGACTGAGAACAATTTGACTTCACTTCTGCTTTTATTTACTGTTTTTCTTTTGTAGTCCCCAACTCCAGGGACCCCCAAGAGCACCCGACACACACATTGTGAGACATTCTTCAAGACGCCCGGCAGCCTTGGAGACCGGGTCCTTAGGAGAAGAGAGAGCAAGCAGTCGCAAAACGCCAGCTCGGCGCAGCGGAGACTTGAAATACCCAGCGGCGGTGCCCACTAGCCGGGTGCTCTGCCCGATGGCGTGCCTCAGACCGCCTGAGCTTCCCTGTCCGTCACAGGTCAGGTCCTGGCGCTGGAGCGAAGCAGAATGCACGCCATCGGGCCTTTCACCCTCCGGTCCGCACGTTAACTTCCCATCACCGTCTATTCTCCTGAAAGTCATTGTTACTAATTGCGCGTTTAGTACCAGTTAGCGCCCAGACTCTGTGCCTGGTGTCGCAGGGAAAGCGCCCGCTGACTTGTGGTTTTGCTCCAAGAATTCTCTATTTGCTCGAAGTAGATCGGAACAGGCTACTGGAGCCTGTGGTTTGCCTAAAGGTGAGGCCTGTCCAGCACTTAGCCAGGGTGAGTGTCCCTGACGTGTCTTTCCACTCGCCCTGAGTAGATCTGTGGTGAGAGAGCCTTCCTTCCTGCAGATTAAAAAGCTACGGCTTCCTAGGCTTCATCGGGAAGACAGCGTCAGCTGTGAATCCTACCGTGTTATTTATTGTGTTCCCGGAATGGGCCTTAGTGCAAATGTTTACAAGTACAGTGGGGCCTTGACTTACGGGTTTAATTCGTTCCGAGACTAAGCTCGTTAAGGAGCTCGTTAACTCAAATTACTCTATCAACTCAATGCAAAAATCGACAGAGAGACAGCTGGTATCTCAAAAACCTTGTTAGTCGGGACACTCGTAAGTCAAGGCCCCACTGTACAGCAAAACATGCTGTTCAGGGTGTGACGACTTGAATGTTTGTGCTTTTCCCCTATAATTAGCCCTGCACTTACTTTACAACTTAGAGATAATGTGGATAATGTTGGCACACATGACAGAATGTCAAGACCAAAATAACTGTGAATGGCACACCTTGCTACAACAGATGTGCTAACCCTGTCTGGGCACAAGAGCTTAGATGAACTACAGCAGCCGAACCGCTGCTTCTCAGTTAACTGTGGACAAAAAAAAAACAAAAAAAAAACACCTTACTGTGTTCACTGTCCTTCACTACATGCCCCTGTGGGGTGCTTTTTTATTATTATTTAAATATTAAATGTCAGGTCTGGATGCCTTCTAACAATTGCTGTTCATTGGATAAATCAGGGGGGTGGAAAATAATTGTATGGGAAATTGGAATCTGAATAGGACCTTTTGGTAGAATTCTGAGGAATTAATGTAGAAACTGATAATAGGACAATAGGTGATTATTTTTTCCTTTGCTTTTTGTCTTCAGTTTGGAAGGGTAAGAGGAAAGTGGACACAGGTTGTTGAGTACCCAAGAGCATTCAAACCAGAGTTATGTTCAGAGGACAGAAGAGTAAGCACATGAAAGCAGGGGCTTATAGTTCAGCGTGACTGCAATTCGGGAAGCTGTCATGCAGTATCCCTTTGTCAACCCGGATTACTTCAGGGCTTCGGTACATAGCCAGACGAGATCTTTGTATGCCTAAATTTATTGATCTTAACCCAGGGGTGGGCAAACTTTTTGACTAGAGGGCCACAATGGGTTCTTAAACTGGACTGGAGGCCAGAACAAAAGCATGGATGGAGTGTTTGTGTGAACTAATATAAATTCAAAGTAAACATCATTACATAAAAGGGTACGGTCTTTTTTTTTTTAGTTTTATTCATTTCAAACGGGCCGGATCCGGCCCGCGGGGCGTAGTTTGCCCACGGCTGTTTAACCTCACTCCTGTTTCTTCAGAATAAATGGGTCCTTCCCTTCCTCTTTCTTTATTCCTTTCTCTTTTTTTAAATTTCTATCTTGGATTTGGAGTCTTGGTTTAGGGTTTTATTTTATTTTTATTTTTGGACCCAATAAAATGTTATATGAAAGAATAAAAATATTAATTTAAGTGACTCTGGGAGTCTGTGTAAAGTAGCTTTATATTAACTACCAGATATTATTAGCCTTAATACCCCCATAAGATTTTTTTAAAAAACTAAAAGTAGGTAGTTAGAATAAGTAAATTTGCTACCATATAAAATTTTACTAACACTAAACTTTTAAAGTTTACAAGATGCTATTTTTCCCCTTTTTTACAACCTTCTCTGGAGTTCAACAGATAAAAATGTTCAGTCATCCACCATTGCATGGTAATGATTACCTTGAACGGATATGATGGGATCCCTATCGGAACAAATGAAAACAGGCCCTTTTCAGGACTCCGGATATAAACCTGCACAGGGGGGTGCAGGTCAGAGCTGCCCTGCTGGAGATTGTCCCCAAATATTTTCACTCAAGAGGTTTGCATTTAAATCAAAACACAGACTGATTATCTCCTTTGTCCTTAGATGTTCCTCACTTTACTATCTTTTTTTAAAAAAAAATTCTGTTCATGATATAACCACATAAACCTCAGAGAATTCACAGTTCTTGAGGGGTGTTAGGAAGTAACCCCATAAATGGGAATATCACGATTCTGTGACCATACTTAGCGATAGAAAACGAAGAACAGGTGCCTTTTGTATTCAGTACCCACGTCATAATGTGGCTGTGTGACATGTGGAAACGATGCATGGCGGTTTCTGTCCGGATGATGCGTCTGTTTCTTACAGAGCCACCAACTCAGTGAAGCTGCTGAGCTGGACTTGGGTGTTTGGGGCCGTGACGCGGCAGTGGCAGTCTTGAGTCTGTCATTGTATGATTTAGTAAAAGAAAAAAACAATCATTGGTGATCCTACTAAGGAAATGCAGCTCTGAGTTGGCACTGAGGAGGGTGTGTGCCCTACACTGTCCAGGGTTTGTGAAACCCTTTCATTCTGGTACAAGAGTTGGGGGTATAACTTTTATACTTGAATCTGCCTACCACGTTTACATGTCTCAATTCCTTTTTGTAAGGTGCTATTTCTGTATTTAAATCACTTTTTCTTTCCAGGTAAAGCTGCTTTCTGCTTATCTTATTGCACTGCTAGTTGTATGTAGGTGTTAATTTTATTGCTGCTTACTGCTTTTGTTTTCATACTTAGTTCTTTTTTTTTCTAATGGCTATGTTATCTATAGCTTTTTACTTGTAACTTACTACATGTAAACTGATTTTTTTTTTTTTAGAAAAATATTAGGCTTTATAAAATAGCAATAAAAACAAAGAGATGTTAGTTATGTTTGTTTGGTGGACTTTTTGAGTGCCGTCTTCAGGAAAACCATGACCAGGTGCAGGGTAGCCAACAGGCCCTCATAAACCCAAGTCACATCTTTTTGCTGAGACCTTCTGGTGGTTCCCAAATGCCAAAACCTACTGTGTCAGGAATACTTGGGAGGGTGGAGGGCTGGTGCTCCTAAGCTTCGGAATGCTATCTGAGTTAGAATCTCTGGAGGCCTGGAGCTTCCAAATGAAACTCATGTTTATGCAATATTAAGGATCACAGTGAATGCAGACCAAAGGCTAAATGTTTCTCAGTCTAGCAAATGCCCACCTTTAGTTTAAAGCCAAATTCCACTGTTAACCCTCACTTTTTATTTTAGTTTTATTTTTTAATATATTTTTATTGATTTCAGAGAGGAAGGGAGAGGGTGAGAGAAACATCAATGATGAGAGAGAATCGATCGGCTGCCTCCTGTACGCCCAACACTAGGGAGTGAGCCTGCAACCCGGGCATGTGCCCTGACCAGGAATCAAACCTATGACCTCTCCATTCATAGGTCAGTGCTCAACCACTGAGCCACGCTCTCCAGGTGACCCTCACTTTTTTAAAAAAAAATATGTTTTTATTGATTTTAAAGAGAGAGAAAGAGAAACTTTGATGAGGGAGAGACATCGATCCGCTGCCTCTGCACACCCCCAATGGGATGGAGCCCCTGCAACCCGGGCATGTGCCCTGACTGGGCATGGAGCCTCTGACCTCTCAGTGCATAGGACAATGCCCTACGAACTGAGCCACACTGGCCAGGGCTGTTAACCCTCACTTTTAAATGAACCTCCGAGCAGGCTTAATCTGATTTACACTAACTCATTATACCTCCAGAGTCAATTACGTTACACTGTTGTTAGTCGCCCCTGCTAGATTGTGAGGTGCTAGGGAAAACAACAGCTTTAGAATCGCAATATCCAGCCCAGTGCGAGGTACCCAGTAGAAGCCCCCAAAGTGGTGGACGGAGGGACTACAGGACCCCATAGTAGGGCTTGCCCCTTGGCCAGAGTCAGCTTGTGCCTCCCTTATACTGTGACCTCTTCTCTCATGTCACTTCTTGCCCCTGTCCCTAGTCTCACAAGACACATAAACTAAACCACGGTCAATTTGTTCTTCACAGCACCAGGCTTAGGGGTTCACGGGCACATATGTAGTGGGTGTTACATTATAACAGCGTCTTGCTGTATTGCAGGCCTTTGCCAATATCATATGTGCCCCATCTTGGTTGACTTTAATGGTGTGAACTGTGCATTGAACGAGCAAGGCTCATGGAGGAATCGTGAAAGCAGCTCTGATCTGTCTTCCGGCATCTCTCTAAGCTTCTTTAGGTCAGTGGGGGTAACCCACTCGCCCTGGAGTGAATATTAGGTTAGGCGCTATGACTTACCTGGTTACTGTAAGTCATAGAAGTTCTATAGTCATTTCAAGCCACAGAGACAGTCTCAATTCATGTGTGAGAGGAGTATTTAAAATGCCTGCATGGCGCTCACTTACAGAAGAGGAGGGCACGGTCCTGTGTCTCCACTGAGCACTTGTCCTTCCTCGGCGTGCCTGCCTACACTTCTAGCCCCAGCAAGGTCACAGGTTCTTGGGCAGGATGAGAACCGTCCCTGGCTGCTCTACCATCAGCCCACATCCCTGTCCTGAATCTTCTTTCTTGGAGAAAAGGCCCCGCCAAACTCAGCAGCCTCTTCCTTTAGTGCTAAAGCTGCTGGCACACCCACACCCCGAGGCCCCCAGGCCAAGGTTACACCAGAACACACCTCCATTTGCAGGAAAGCGGTGGGAGGCAAGCAGCAGCCCGCACCTCCCTTTCCTGGCTGGCTCTAAGGAGGCAGAGGTGAGAAACCACTGCATAAGCCTCCAAAGCAATCTCCACAAAATCCTTCTGCTCAGAACCTTCCAGGCCTTGAGGGTGAAGGATTCAACGGTTATGTAACGATTTGCAAAACTTCCTCTGCCAACTCTTTGGGATGCAACATTTACTCTAATGTGGTGCCGGGGCCAAGCTCACATTTAACAGCCTGTGAAAACGGGTACAAACTAACATTGTCCAAGATTTGTATTCTTCCTGTGTGATTGTCATGGCCCTTAATAGTTCATCTTCATAAAAGTAAATTTTGGTAGCTGCTAGTTTATTTTTAGTGTTAAAATCGGGTTGATTCAATGTTCCTTTTTACCTGAAAATGATTCTAAAATTTAGAAATTATACCTAAAACTAAAATAGCTTTCTTTGTTTTGTTATCTGATATCTAAGTCCTTTTTTGAAAACGGCCCACTGGCAGGCTTCAGTGTGATTGGCCCTTCTGTGCAAGCATCCAGTCTCCTCAACTGCCCTGAAAGACTCAATTATGCATTGGTAAAGCAAAGTTAACTGCTTTAACAAAATTAAACAGTTAATTTTGTTTTAATAGAATATTCATTAGAGATA